CACACCCTCTTATTTGATCTAGGTTTAGATTAAAAAAAAAAAAGACTATGGACTATTAAAGCCTAGGCTGTCAGCCTAATAATTTGGCTATACATATGAAAGAGAATTCGAAGCAAAATCAAATTCTAATTCTAATCAAACAAAAAAGTTCCATGACAACATTATCTTAACACTTGTTTGCAAGCATTTGTCCTTCTCTCTCAACCCTTTGCTTCTGTCCGCAGCTGGCTAGGCTACACCATTCTTCACTTGAACAAAGAACAATGATGGGAACAGTGCATCAATACTCAGTTCCATCTCCATCCTCCACTCCCGGCACGTCCATTTCCATCAGATAACACAGTGGAGGGGCCACTTTCTCTAAACTGTGCCATGTTCTGCGTTCTGCTGCGGGTTAAAAGCGAGACAAGGCACAAGAAGCTTGTTGCAGATGCAAAGATAAAAGGGAGGAGCAGTTGAAGAACTTTGAACGTTGTGCTTCTTTTGGGCTTTTCAACAGCTGGTAGCATGTAATGGCCATTCTTCAATCACTTTATTCCACTCCTTGCTGAATGCTGTTGATCTGATCCCATCAGACATGGCCTTCAAGTTCATGAAACAACAGTGTCTTGTGTGCAATGATACACGCAATTTGGTATCTTCGAGACAAATTGATCTAATGTATTATTATTAACTTGAGCTTAAGTATTTAGAATAATGACTTGAATTCATCTAGTTATCATGTATTAAATCTCAAGTCGTGACAAATGATACAAGATTACCTAATATTAAGTAAAGGATTACTCATGAACGGGGCTAAATGGAATGTAGACACATTACCATATAGAGCCATCAAATAATGAACTTGATGCGTCTGCTTAAGAATTTTTCTACTGGTGATTTAAGCTCATTAATTAATTGATCAATTATTTCATTCAACTGATTCATCACACAATTACTTAATTCAATTCTTCATGGGTTGTAACTCATTAGCCTCATTTGCATGGATCACTGAATCATGTTTAAAAGAAAATAAAGCTTTAACTTTAAAAAATGCTTCATTATTGAAATAAGTTCAGTATAAGAAAAATGCTGATTTATTTTATGTTTAGATACTGAAGAGGTAATGTTTCATCTCCTTGTACAATTTGAGCAAGGATTACGGGCTTCCCTATACGACTACTATATTTTTTAATAAATATAAATTTAATTTAACCAAGCTTAACTCAACACTTATCATTATTCAATTTCTAACATGATATCCGAGTCATATAGACAAAATAATGAAGATAAGTTACGTCGATGCGTAATAAGTGAAATAATAAGACATTAAAAAGAGTAGAATATTGAGTTGAATCAAAAAAAAAAATGAAACTTACTACGATGGACGAGTGTAGTATCTTATTGAAGTATTAGTCATTTGTGTGATTATGTATTCTCCTGTATTTTAGATGGGAAGAGTCTTGTACAAGACAAATTTATAGATTCAATTATATGCTTAGACTCATGGCAAGTCTACTTAATGGTCCCATTGTGAGACAACAAACAAAAACAATAGTTAACTTATCCCGATCATAGCCAACACTTTGATCTTATCTATCAAGAAGCCAACTTGTGACCTGTGAGTCTTTGGACATGTATATTTATTTATGCATACATGTTTAAAGCAAGGATGATAATTAATGAGAAATGCTTGAGAAGAGAATGCAGTTTCATTAATGTGTCAAAGTAGATTAATGTTGATGATAAACTCAGACACAATGATAGCTTGCAACAGCATTCATGCAGCACACTGCAAACAGCTGCCATTGTACCTGTGCTCCATGCTTGAAGAGACACCAACTTAGATGGGAAGATACAGGGAGAGTCGAACTCTCTGGGCTGGAGAAAGATGGGGTGAAGTAACATCTCTTCGAATCCACTGTTCCTTGAGATTGTGAGAGTGGAGCTAAAGCAACTGGAAATTTCCTAAAGTTCTGCAATAGAAGAAACATGGCAACATGTGTAGGATAGAACAAGAAGAAAGAGTAGTGCTGCCATGGAGGACAAAGAACAGGAGAGTCAGAAGTGAGCAGTGGGAGGAGGGAGGACTCCCACAAAAGGGGAAGTTGAAAGCTACACCATCACAGACTTTAGATCACTGAGACAGCTCAGTAGCACTTGGTACTTTGTCATTATCCTTCCAAGTGGAACAGAGGGGCCTGTCTTGGCAACATTTCTGTTTCTGACTAAAAACAAAAGGAATCATTCTAATCTGAAACAAAAAAGAAGAAGTTTTGTTTCCAGCAGAAGCAAAACAGGTTGATTTTGTTGGGAAATTGGAGTCTCATAGATCCAAAAACAATTGGAAGTGTTTTCCGGAAATAGGCATGATTTAGTAACCTAATTTAACGATGAAAAAAAAATGATAAAAAGAGTATTTAAACCCAATATATTAAGACATGATGATTTGATCCATCAACTGAACTACTAATTTAAATTAGTGTATCAAAATGTTGAAACTTAAACCAGTGAGAATACATCCATCCAATCCTCTTAAATTTATTATTATATTTTTCATGTAGAATTACATTAAGATTTTACAAATTTTCCTATCTAAAAGCTCGACATGATTGACATATGTATAATATATGTTTAGTTATGATTTTAAGTTATAAAGTATATTCTAATTTCATCCATAGATAATTATATTTCACTGGAGTCTTTCATCAAATTTAATATTATATTGGTTCTTATATCATTTAATAATAATAAACTCTCAAATCATTTCCCACGTCAAATGTGAGACTAAAATTACATTTGATTGTTCTTAGTCATAAGTAAAACATATTATCAATATATTTGAAAATAAGAAGAAGTGGGCTAATTATATATTACCCCTATAAAAATTTATATTAAAATCTCTATAGTTATGAAAATAAAAATTTTAATTCTATTTATTCTAATACTATCGATTTTACCGATGGAAGATACAACATGTTATAAAAATGATGGATAAAATAATATTTTAAATATCTCAATTATATATATTTTTTGTTAGTCAACTGTTATGACGGTGATGGATGACAATGCCACTAGAGACCATACATAGTTATTGTGGTTATGATTGACGAGAATGACACAGTGGTCGATGAGAATGATATTGAGAATATCCTTAGAGACGAGCTAAGTAGAATCCTAGAGGTAGAGTTGAGGGACTTCTATAGCTTCTTGTAGGGAAAGAAGGAAAATAAGAGAGAGTGGCGGCAAGAGGTGAAGCAAAGGAAGAGGAGAAAAAGAATGATGCTGATGCTCTATATCTATGTCGATGTTGCTCAACATCTATGTTGGCACAAACGTAGATATAGAGCAATGAGAGGGCCACTTGACATTTGTATTAGTGCTGACACAAATGCAAATGCAAAGCGTCACTTAGCATCTACATTGGCACTAACATAGATGTAGAGTAGTGCCACTCTATATCTGCATCGATGCCGACTTCTACATTTGTGTTGACATCGATACATATGCTAAGTGACCCATTCTTTGCTTTGCATCTATGTCGGTGCCGATATAAATATAAAGTATCAACATTTGTATCATCATCTTTCTTCTTTCCCTTTGCCTCACCTCGTGCTATTGCTCTCCCTCCTCTTCCTCCTCCCTCTTCTCCAATCCCTCATCTTTCTTTCCCTTTTTATCACTCTGCATCTATATCAGTACCGATGCAAATGCTAAACGATGCTCTACATCTGCATCTGTGTCGACATCGATGCAGACATCAAGCAACACTCTGTATTTGCATCTATATCGGCACCGATGTAGATGCCAAGTGACCCTTTCGTAACTCTTTATCTATGTCAGTGCTAATGCAAATGCCGAGTGACATTGATGTAGATACAAATGTCAGTATTTGCATCATCATCTTCTTCATCTCCCTTTACCTCACCTCTCACTACTGCTGTCAATTCTCCCCTCCTTTTCCCCCCTTTCTTCATCCCTCATCCTTCTTCCCCCTTTTATAGCTTTGTATTTGCGTCGGCATTAATGCAAATGCTGAGCAACACTTTTTATCTGCGTCGCCGCTAATGTAGATGCCTAGCGACACTCTGCATTTATATTTATGTTGGCACTAATGCAAATGCCAAGCGACCCTTACACGGCTCTTCATTTATGTTGACGCCAATGTAAATATCGAGTGATGCTGACACAAATGCAAAGTGTAGCATCTGCATCATCCTTTTTGTCCTCTCCCTTTGTATCACTTTTCACTATTGCTCTACCTCCTCTTCCTCCTACTCTCCCTTCTTCCCCCCTTCCTTATCCCTCATCCTTCTTCCCCCTTTTACAACTTTGTATCTATATCAACATCGATATAAATGCTAAGCAACACTATGCATCTGCACCTATATTGGTACAGATGTAGATGTTAAGCGATCCTTTCGCCACTCTGTATCTTTGTCGGTGTCGACATAGATGCTGAGTGGCATCGATGTAAATACAAAACGTCGACATCTGCATCGTCCTCTTTCCCTTTTACTTTACCTCATATCTCGTGGTCGCTCTCGCTCCTCTTCCTCCTCTTCCCTCCGTAAGAAGTCGCACAAGTCCCTCAACTCTACCTTTAGAACTCCACCTAGCTCATCGCTAAGGACATTCCCATATCATTCTCATCGATCATCGTATTATTCTCATTGATCATAACCACAACAGCCACTCATGGTTTCTAGCGGCATTGTCATCTCCCACCACTACAATATTCGATCGAGAAAAAAGAAAACGTAATTAAGATATTAAAATTATTATTATTTATTATTTTTATGTCCTTCTTATATGTACTGTATGATAAAACTAATGATGTTAGAATAAATATAATTAAATATTTTATTTTTATGATTATAGATATTTTAATATATTTTTTTTTTAAATCAAAGAAGAAATAATATTTAATTAGGCCGGAAGGTAAAGAAGCACAGTTTACCCACGTGCATGACTACCAACGAAAGAGCAAAGAGAAGCTCCTTAACGTTTCCCTCTTTACATTTATTTATCTGCCTCCTCTTCCGCATTCTTCCGCTTCATTCTATCGTATTACTTCTCTTCGCAAATTCTGTCTGCACTCTATTCTACCCGAGTCGAATTGTGGTTGTCGTGTGGTCTCCCATGGCGTTCGCCGATGCCGTCTCGCTGTCGTCCACACGCCGCAGCCTCCGGTGCCTCCTCTTCAGCTCCTCCTCTTCCTCCTCCAGGCCCCACGCCGCCGCCGACTGGAACCACCCCCTCATCGCGCCCCCTCCTCCTCCTCCACCGCCGCCGTCGCCGGGCAAGAAGAGGGGGATCACGGCGGCAGCGTTCCGCGGGCTCGGGTGCGCGTCGGCGGCGGCGTCGGATGCGCACGCGCCGGCCGCCGCCGCAGCGAGGGCGTCGGCGGACTGGCAGGGGAAGCGGCCTCGGGGGAGGAGGGGGAAGAAGAGAAGGAAGAAGAAGGAGAGGGGGAGCCAGGTGGGCGGGGGGGACCTCTGGTGCGCCCCCGGGATGCCGTTCGCCGCCGAGGCGTCGGTGGACTGCGTCGCGGCGCACCAGCCGATGGTGGGGAGAGGAAGGCTGGATGCTGCGTCCGAGCGGATCCACAGAGAGGTAGTACGAGTTGGGTTCTTCCAGTAATTTCTTCCTTCTTCTGTTATTTCCTTTCAAGCCTCGTTTCGTCTTGATTACTTGTTTTACATGTACAATTCTAATGGGGAAATATTAATTCATGTTTTATCTTCTAAAGAATGAAATTTCGGATGTAATCTGCTATTTCATCGGCCAATTCTCTGCAACTGCATAATTATCTTTCTTCTCTTGTTTACAAAAGCTTATACATGGTTTTAGAGCGACACATTTCTTCTTCTATATATTTTTTTCTTTTGTTCCTATCTTCTTTTATAATCTTTCCTCGTCTTCGGAGAGTAAAGAATCATTTTCTCATTGATTTTTAGCCTTTCGTATTGTTATATATATATAAGTTATAGGAATGGTTTAAGTGTTGTTGACTTTTGGCTTTTTGTTTTTGACATCTTATATTATGCTGATTGCAGCGGTTTTTCATCCCTAGAAGGGTCAGCCACCAAGAACAGATCTCATCATTCATGTATTCTCCCCCAGATCTCAGTACACCATTTTTTGGACAAGATCTTTTACCATCAGGGCATCTTCATCGCTTGCAAGGATATCATCGGACTCCCAGTGGGCTTGAGGTGGTGATGCGCCCTACTTTTTGAGTGAAATGACCTTTTTGTTATCTCTCTCTCTCATTTATAAGTTTAAATTATTTGTGGTCTTACAAATTATTCTGTTCACTAATGGTCTTGCTACCCTTATAAATTTTCATCAACTGGGAAGATGCTTGCTTGTTTTTTATATGATATTATTCATTGATTGACTTTTGGTAGTTTTGTGCACAGGTTTATTCACACCATGGTTGTTTTGCTCATATGTTTGTTTATTTTAGGGTAATTTTTTTCATATATGACATGAATTCCTATTAAATCTAAAATTATAAGTTTGGAACTGCACCATGGTGTCAAGAAATTCTATATCTGACTATTAGTCCATTCACAAAGGTACTCCCCAGAAGACTTGAATAGGATATTTCTTTACATAGTATTTTGAGACACTTGGTGATGGTCTTGCTTAAATTTTTCTGCTTTCCTTTGTAAGTATATTGAAAGTAACACCTTGAACATTAATCTGATGATGGTGTACCACGCCAATTTACCAATGATTGAGGGTTTGAAATCTCATTCGTTATGTTTTTGAGAGTGTTAGCTAGTTTAGTTGGTAAAGATCTTGACAATTTATTGCAAGGTCTTGAGCTTGAATCTCGCCTTCGCCACTTATCATTTGTAAAAAGAAAACTATATTGAAAGTAATTGTGATTAACAATCTAATTTAGTGTTTTGGTATTGTCTCAATGTATATCAAAACTAAAAAATGAAAAACTTTCATCGTCGTAAGGGAAGGCCTTAGTCAATCAACTCACTGCCATTAACCAGGGGAGGGGTTGGCCAAGAAGACTTGCTCGGCTATGGCAGAAACGGAGGAGGAAGTACATGGTGTTATGGCAAGTTTGTTTGGATTCAACATAAGTTACTCATATGATAATATTTCAGACTGTTTAATTAGTAATAAAAGATATTGCAAAGCAGAGTGGCTGATACTGATGAAAAGACTGCCCACATCCTACTTTTGATAATAGAGTGGTCTTTTTATAACCATGCTATGATGCTTCAATAGTATAAGCACAACAATTTGAAGTCTCATTGTTATTTCGTATTCTGACCTTGCATTGATTATATATTATTCGTCACTAATTTAAGCTTAATCTATTAACTAGAAGCTCCTGGTCGTCCTTTGTAGTGATCCTAATGATTCAATTCAATTTGATTTTAACTTTCTTAGGGGCATCCTGTATCATTTCTCTTTCCATCATTTTGTCTAAAATTCTTGGATCATCTACTCAACATTGAAATTTCAGTCAAATCAATCTATATCTTAAAGAGTTTTAGAGTTTTGGCCTGTTCCAACAAGTATTGATTGGATTGAGAAGTTTCTGCTGGTTTGCTAGTTTCCGATGTTTCAGCAAGTTTGTCTAGTTATATGCTTCACTGGAATGGTGTTGTTAAGGCTGGTTGGAGATTAAGTAACTATCGCTTCAGTATTTTAAAGATATTGAAATGATAAGTGATTGGTTACCATGATTGAGCTGAAAGAATATTAATTATTTTAGCAATTGTTAATTTGTACAAATTTCAAAACTTTTGACCATTCCAATTTCTTAAGCAGTGCATTACAAAACAAATCAACTCCATGAAAACAAAGATTGACATTAAACCCAAGTTTGTCATGTACAGTTTTAGTTTCTAAATCCTGTTAAAAAAATATAAACTAATTGTTGTGCATAGGTGTAATTGATTTTAGAAGCGACTGTTCTTTAGTTATAGTTTGATCAATCCATATAGAGAAGCTATTTAGTTTTACGAATCCTTTCCACTGCCCTGCTATCTGAGTTTTTAGCCTAAGTTTTAAGAATTTAAATAGTGAATTGCCATGCTGCAAGAATGATGATCAGGAGAGTGCTTCAGCTGATGATGAAAACTGAAATTAGAGTTTCCATCTATTATACTCTCTATATTCACGTGGCACATGTGAAGATTGATCGCTCACTCATGCTTGCCTTAACATTGCAGATCATGATGTTCCAGAGTCGAGTTTTGTTAGGTGGTGGACTGGATGTATACGATCAGTTCCGGGATTGGCGACTTGATGTTGATAATATGTCATACGAGGTGTTTAATTTTCTGTAACTCAGTACTTCTTACCCTTCTACCTTGCAGTATTTATTCTGCATTCAAACGGAGATCACTTTACCATTTCCCCCCTCTTTACAGGAACTGCTTGAGCTAGGTGAAAAAATCGGGCATGTGAGCACGGGGTTGAGAGAGGAAGAGATTGCACGCAGCCTCAGGAAAATAAAGCATTCAGTTTTTGGTGCTTCAGCAAGACATTTATCAACTGAAACTGAATGGAAGTGCAGCATATGTCAAGTAGGTCTTCTTTATCTATGTTTTCAAAAGGCTGAAGCATTCATCCCACAATCGCAGATGGCTAAGTGCTTCATCTTTTGTCACGCAGGAAGAATACGAAGTCAGCGATGAAACAGGAAGGTTGGAGTGTGGCCATGGCTATCATATGCATTGCATTAAGCAGTGGCTTCTGCTAAAAAATGCTTGCCCTGTTTGCAAGTCACCTGTTCTTAAAACCTAATGTTGTTGATCGACACTGGAAGCCACATTCCTCACTGTTCTTCCCCTTTTCCCTGTACAGCTTTCAGCTCTCTGACATACAGTGTATTATTAATTCATTTGGGTTGATTATACCTACTATTAAGATTGTGGTATCTCCGTGAAGTCTGCTTTGCCACGACTTCTGATTGCTTTGAGCATTTATGATTATTGCAACCACAACTCATATCTGCCTTGAATATTTCACTGATTGAATTCGTAAAGAAATGTTGGTGAATATTTACTAGTCCAAGGTGTGGATTGCTTCACATCATTTGCAAAAGCAATTAGCTTCAATGACTAATGGCAAAAACAAAGACATTATTTGCAGGGCATTCTGACCATGAATTATAGAATTTATGCATGCAACCTTCCTTGCTGTCCATACTCCATCCCTATTTATGTGCTCCAATTTGCATGATTGCTGGTGGGTGTCAAGTGTTTTGATATCTATCTTTAATATTTACAATAACTTAACTCCCTCTCTCTCTCTCTCTCTCTCTCTCGTCTCAGTTACCCTCCACCTATCTGTCCCAATAGATAATATCTAAAGGAGGCCATTTGGGCCTATCTCCCCCTATTGTCCATGTGGAGAAAACATCAAAAGGAAAAATTGAGGTAGTTGTAGGCCATCTTTTCCATGGACCAGTATAAAAGTTAATTCTCGACGTGGTGCCGAGAGACTCTTTTTGAGAAAAACTCATGCTCAAGAAGGATCAAGGGCTAACTTGAATGTCGGAGGGATTGAATTAGGAAACTTCTCCTGACATTAGTCTTAGTGCAAGCAACGCTCGAAAGCTCGACACCCCCACCTTGGAGATACTTTAGGGCCTCCTCAGGGCCACTTTAAACACTCCTATGCCTTTAAGATTGGACCATGTTGGGTTGATTCAAATGTTGACGATAATTTTTTCTAACATTTTGGCGCTAGAATGATAGCTTGATATCATAGGAACGTTCACCCACTAATCTTCAATGAATGCTCTAGTGAGGAGGCCCTACCTCCAACACATAGCTCTTTTACTTAAGGAGTCAACTACCATTCTTCCCACATATAGATGCGTTCACTTTGGAACAAACTTCAATGTGGTACTAGCGTATGTTCAATGACCGAGGCCTCTCATCGCTAGGGATGAATTTGAGCCATCTGCTCGTTCTCATCAAGTTATTTCTAAACCTCACCCATCAAGTATAAACACTCACAAGCATGATGTAGGCTATCACCTTGCTCTTGCCTTAACTAGCCCAACAAGCGATGCCACCATCTAAGCCACCGTCGATGTTGATTGGCACCAACACCTATTGGAATCCCCCTAATCAATGCAATACAAGCATCTTAGGATCACCTAACGGCCACAAAATTGCCAACCGAAGGAACACCCCGCTCCCCAACTATGGAGTTTAGTGTACCACTACACCGTCGCTTTGCTCTATTCGAATCCGAGGTTGAATCGACATATTCAATGGATGATTCCCTTAGGGTCCAATTGCAGCAAATGAACCAATGCTTAGATGAGATACGATGATAGTTCCAATAGTCTAGAGGGGAGAGTTCAGTTGATCCTACCTTGGTTCAATCCCCATTCACTTAAATATCCAAGAAGAACCAATCCTAACAAACTTCTGCCTCCCATCACTAGAAGCATTTAATGGCAATACCAACTTGATAGAATACACTACTGCCTTTCATGCCCAAATATCTCTATATGACACCTCGGATGCTCTGATATATCGTGTGTTCCTAATAACTCTATGAGGCCCAATGAATGGTACACTCGCTTGAAGCTACTCTCAATCGGATCCTTTGCTTAGCTTACAAAAGAGTTTGAGCTCTATTTCTTTGGGAATATATATCTAAGGCCATTGATAGTGATACTGCTCAAACTCAAGCAAGGGGAGAAAGAGATACCCTCTGACCCATTTGTCACTCATGATTCAATCCTTTATGATGAGGCTCAGGCCCTTTTACATTTTCTAGTCATTAGTGGAGAGGCCACCAACGATGATACTCGAGGTTCTCCAGAGGGTTAACTAATATATAGTTGCGTAGGTAATAGTCTTAAGTAAGTGCGAGGAGACACGCAAGAGACCATGGTAGGAATGACGATTGTTAGCTCCAATCTCAAGGCCACTACGATGATGAAGACACGATCGACCCGAGTTGCCTCGCTCATGGTCTGAGTCGAATCTCCTGAACTTGACGACAACCAATGTTTTCTTACTGATAAAGGAAAAGAGGGCTCTTGAAGGACCCTAAATCGATGAAGACACTACTAGAAAGGAGGGACAAATCCAAATACTATTGTTACCACTATGATTATAGCCATAACACAAAGGATTATCATGATTTAAAGGAACAAATTGAGGATCTCATTCATCAAGGGCACCTTGAGCGATTCGTCTAAAGGCCCCGAGAACCTTTGCCCCGATCTTAGGGTTTAATGGAAAGACAAATCAACATTATCATTAGTGGATATATCTTGAAAGGAGACAGCTCATTAGGTCACAAAGCCTATGCTCAGCCACCATTGAAAAACGCTCGAGCTCAAAAGATAACTTAGAAATAACCTTCAAAGAAGAAGAGATGGAGTACCTCAACCCAAACTATGACGATGCTTTAGTGGTCTTCATAAGGATGATTAATACCTGCATAAAGAGGGTTATGATTGACACCAGTAGCCCTATTGACATTCTCTATATTGATGCTTTTTAAAAACTTGGGCTCTCGGCGAATGATCTCACCCCTATGACTTCTTCACTAGCGAGGTTTATAGGTGACTCCATCTCTCCTCTCAGAAGCATGAGCCGACACATCACATTTGATGATGACCAAATTTATGGTGGTTGACATTGTTAGTCATAAGTACCCTATAAACCAATCACGTGAGTGATGGCACATGCAATACGCTGCACAATCTTTTTATTTATTATTATTATTATTAGTATTATCTCACTTTATATTGTCTATTTGATATATTATGATGTTCTTGGATTTGTACAATGAGAATTGGATCATGATGAGATCATGATAATTAGATCAATTAGCTTATAAACACAGACCCTAAATATTTCTGGTCATAGGTTACTTGAGAGGGGCATTGAATAGTCGGATAGACTGGTGTGCTATATACCCATCCATATGATGAAGGCGGTTGGTCTCATAATCACTCGTGTGGGGATGAGATATTAGGGGTTCAGTGCAGATGCTCATTGGAGAATGAGTTCACTGAATGATTCACTAACGGAATGTTGGATGGTTAATAATACCTTATTATCAAACAATGTTTCTATAATATCAATTGTGTGTATAGTCCTTAGACTTGAGACACCAAGGATGTCCTCTATGAGTACTCCACTATTTGATACTAGACTTATAGGTTTGGAAGTTCTAGATCTAGCGTAACTAGTCATCGGGAGTGACAGTCAATCTTACGAAGGTAATTGAGTGTCGATAGGGGATCATCTACACTTGGTATCATGAGAAGAATATTCTATGTGTTCTTGCTTAATCAAATCCCTAGCTAGGGTCATTCAGATTGAGAGAGAAATAAGTTTTTCGAGAGAATCCAATTATAACAAGATTGGAGTAGACTTCGTATGAGTTTGACAACACAATGCCCGATATATGGTCTCTAGAATATTAGATGGATGATGGACTATAGATACACGGTAACTAAGGACATATAGGTCCAATAGATTGGATCCCTCTATATCATATGAGGGCTATGATATAGTGGCCTAGTACGTCTATAGTTGCTAAGTCGAGTGAATTATTATGGAGATAATAATTCACTATGTTAGAAGGAGTTCTAATATGTATGACTCACGGCCAGCTTAGTATTAGGCCTAGAGCTTCACACACATATGACAGATGTTGTGACAAGTATAGGTTTGAATATAAAATATCCGTTGAGCCTCTATCTTATTGGATATTAAATAAGCCCCTGTATTATTAGATTTTTTGGGTGAGACCTAATAAGAGTAAATAGTGATTATTGAATAGAGATCTATTAATCCAAGAGCCTTGACTAGTTGTATAGAGATCTAATACCTAATAAGATATGATCCATTAGGGTTAAGTTGATAAGGACCTCTATAAATAGGAGGGAACCAAATGGGCATATACTAGACTCGTTTGGCTGCCATCTCGTATTCTCCTCCCTCCCTCTCCTCCTCAACTGGTAGCCCTATTTGGGTCATGTGGGTAGTAAGAAGGGCTAACCCCTTCTTGATCTTACTATAGTCTTGTGGTGTGCAAAGGAGAGGAAAGATCACACTACGAAAGAAGGCACATAGTCATGTCATTTGTCATGTGGATCACCTCTAGAGAGAAGTATATTTGATCTCCTTCATCTAGAGATTTGAATATATGATTTTAGGGATATACAATCTCCCTTAGGTAAATCATCTCACACATGTTACGTGGTCGATTTTATGATTTTTCGTGCATCAATCTTCACATAACCATCCGATATTGAATCTTTATGAACTTATTTTATTTTATATTCCGCTGCGCATGTGATGCTGCCCAAGGTTTTCCAACAAACATCTCATCGGCATACAACACGGTCATAGGCCAACCCACACTCAATAGGCTAAGGGTTGTAATGTCGACCTACCATATAGTGATCAAATTCTCGATAGGGACTAACGTCGGGAAGCTGAGAAGCAATTCGAAGGAGTCTCGACAAATTCTATTTGATGACAGTCTCCCTACCAAAGAATGCTAAGCCTAAGGCACCGCCATTGGATTCTTAGGATTTTGCCAAGTCCCTCTCACATTTAAGGCTAATAGAGTCATTGGTCCTGGCACCTTTAGACAAGGTCTATCCCGATTAGGTCATCAAGGTCAAGGCAACACTTCTCAGGGAGAAGCCAGTGTAACTCATCAACTTTCTTAAGAAAATACTGAGATGTTTGTATAGTCACCGAGACATGCTAGGAATAAACCTAAATGTGGCCTAGCACAACTTGAACATCTCACCCGAGGTTCAACGTATGAAGCAAAAGCCTAGTAAGTTTGCTCATGAATGCTAATAAGCGATTAGCGATTAAGTAAATAAGCTGCTAGAAGTAAGGTTTATTATTGGGGTGCAGTACCTCCAATATCTTGCTA